AGCTAACCGCGGCTAGCTGGCTAGCAGGTTGGAGTTCACACATGTTCAGGGTAAATGAAAAAAAATCTTAAACAGCATTTACACAAAGGCTCTGCAGAGTCCAGTCAGCGGCTAGTCGAGACTCGTGTCCTGCAGAGAGCGTTTAACGTTAGAGATGTCCCAGGGGTCTCCGCCTCGATGATCCGCATGTTTATGTGGCCACTTCGATGTCTGAAGGGTAGGAGCAGCGAGCTAACGCTAGCTTGCAGCAACTTAGATTGACATCTATGTGAGGGCAGCTCACTGAGAGCATTGGTGACTGGCCTGCGGTCTAAGCAAGCTCAAGCAAATAGCTAATTAAATCGACGACGGGAAAACGACGGGAAAACAGAGATACGATCTGATCCAGGTGTCGAGGTGGCGCTAGCTCGTCCAGTCGCTATGTCATCTCATCTGTCTCGCAGCAGCAGAGCAGAGATGCCGCTGTCTCAGCCTCGCAGATGCAACGTTGAGTCAACGCTGTGGACTGCTGCGCCAGCTAGTTCCTACAGGTCCAGGCAGCAGCAGCTCATGTCATGACGAGAAATTTGCACCAGTCACCGCACTGCATTTTGTAAATTGGGTTTTGTCGTTGCAGGGGAACGTTGAATGGATTCCCCATAAGGAGGGCATCTGCTCAAGCTGCATTCATAATTTGTCTGTCCACATAAAAATATAGGAATTCATACACAAGCAAAAGGACTCAGCATTTGTGCATTTAATTCACAGAAATCTGTTTCATAAAGACAGCCAGTCAGTTACCTAACCATTCATGCCAGTTGTGTCTGTACGGACTCACATACGTGTTTATCTTTGACAGGTTAGTCATTTGACCTTTTGGATCGACCAGCAAATCAACTGATCAATCAGCAGTGATTACCTGCACATTATCACAGATACTTGGTATGTTTGCAGCCTCATGGTTGTGACATTTTGCAGCCTTGAAAACCTTGATGTGTTTGGAAGCTTGTAGATTACATGCTAATCAGTTCGGCACTGTTCAGGCTTTGCAGTGATAACCCAGCTCTGTCCTTACAGTTAAGCACATGGTAAAACTGTTACAGTGGTTTTCACTGTTTGTACAACTGGAACATTCTGTAACAGAGTACAGGATGTAGTATATTTTTCAATATGATGTCTTCTTTTGGTCTGCTTTACTACAAAGCCATAACCATTAATGGATTGCTGAATGGGCCTACTAGCAACAGACCCAGGGGCCCTCTGACCCTCACAAACTACATGTTCCAACCTGCAAGACACTCAAAATGACTACAAAGAGGGACACAATGACTACAGAGATGCAATACAGCTGCAAAGCTACACAAAGAGACTCACAAAGACTACAAAATGGGAAAAACAACCGCAAAAAGACAAAAATGACTACAAAGAGTGGCAAAGCAACTACAATGAGACTCAAAATGTCACTAAGAGACACAAAACAACTACAAATAAATGCAAAGAAACCCAAAAAGACTATAAAAATGGAAAAACAGCCACAAAGACACACAAAATGGCTGCAAAAAGATGTAAAGCAACTGCAAAGAGACTCAAAATGACCAGAAGGAGATAGAAGACAACTACACAGAGATGCAAAACCACAACAAAAAATATAATAAACGACTTTAAAGTCTGTGGCCCCTTTTACACAGAGATCACACTATAGGGCCAGTATGCAGTCCCTTCTTCATACCACCTTTGCATTTTTACACAGAGCCAAAAAACAGTGGCATCATGCTGCTCTAGTGTGTGATCATGAACAGCATGCCGGCATTACGGAAGCAAAAGAGGCGTGACGGTGTGATTCGTAACACAACAGGGTCTGCCTGTAGTGTGACACGTAACATATGCTCTGCAGTACTTTCTAAACAATAACACTGGCATTAACATGGCAATAAAAATCATTTACCGTCCCTGTTACATGGCGGCTGATCTCATCCTCTGTTCTAGGGGTAAGAAGCCACCCATGACAGCTGCCCCGTTTATACAGAGGTCGTTCTGGCTCTGTTACTACCTCTGATGCCAGCTTAAAGGCGAGACAACTCTATCCTCTCATTCTGCAATTGTACCTTTGATACAGAACAGTGAGGCTGCATAACAGAGTGAAATTCACAACTTGAAGAGCAGTGTAAAAAGGGCTAGAGTTTCTTGCTCCTGTGTAGCAGAGGTGGTGGGGCCTTCTGCATGTCTGTGCCCAGGGGCCCATTGTCATATAATCTGCCCATGGTCATACTGGCTGTAAATAATTCTTAACACATACTGTATCCATATCTAATATGTAGTAATAAGGACTTAATCAGTACATGCAACACACAAGTAGGTGAAAGAAATACAAATACATAAAAACATTAAAAAGCAAAAATCATCATTTAAGTACACAAACCTGGGAGATAAAACCTTTCAATTAAATAATATGAAAGTAAGATCGAAAAGAGATAGTGCTCTGTGAGACGGTAAAAAGTTTGCAGAACATTTTACCTTCAGCCTCCTCCACTGCTCCTGTGGAAATCCCAGGAACTGTCTAACTTGCAATGATGTCATTTAAACTTCAGTAAAGTGCTTTAAGTCAAACCAGAAGCCAGTAAGACAAATTGAGCACAATGTTACAGTTTTAGTCACCAGACATTCAGTTTGGAGGTTGAAATAGGAGCTGTCTTGTCTTGAGTGTAAAATTGAATGAAACATCCACTATGAATTACAAGACCATGAAAAGTTCCACTGCAACTGAGAAGATTAATATCTCAAATGTGAAAGAAGAGAGTTAATGTTAAGAAAAAAGTTCAGCTATACAACATAATTGTTTCAAGGTTGAATGAATTCCAGGAGTAACTTTGTTGGAATGAACTTTTTTTGGTGTGCTACTTAAGTATTTTCATTTCCTCTCCAGACTTGCTTTCAGCAGTGTGCAGAGAACGTGTCTAAACTTGTTGTGTTCAGCTTTGCTATACACTGATGGTGATGATAATAGCATACTATAGTTACAGTAATAAAACAAGTTTGTCAAGTCAAACACACAAAGCGTGTGTTTCATTCCTTTGCTCTGTGTTTTGGCTGCTGTCAGTGCAGAGAGTTAGTATCTCTTTGCATGGTTTCTAAACATACCTCACACAGGAAACAGGAAAAGTGATCTTTGCACACTTTGTATTGAGACAGCTGAGCAGGAGAATAAGTAACAAAAATCCAATCCTGCACTGTCACCATTTAATTTATTGACTTACCTTATTCAAACTGTCACTTGACTGAAACTACTGAGTACATTTATCATGAGCGTAGAGTAGAGAGTGCAGGAGCTGATCTTATATCCAGAAAGAAGGCTGACCTCTGGTAATCAACATCAGTTTTTCTGAAATTGTTGGGAAATATTTTGACAACTTCTGTTGCACCTAAGCAAGACTTATGTTGATGTGAAGTCACATTCTCATGGGAGTGTCTCCATTAACAGTGTTAATATGAATTGCCTCTAAAGGCATTTACAAGAATCCACCATGGCTCTGATTGGTTTTCTTTCAGCTACAGTGGATTCTAGCAAATGCCATTAGGAGCAGTAGGACAGTGGTTCCCAACTGGTCCAGCCATGGCGTCCAGATTTCTCCTTAGTCATTTAGTTCCACACAGTTAAATATATTCAGCGTCATACTTGCGTTTGGCCATGTCGTCAAGCTAGTTTGCTGTCTTTGTTAAGTAGCTGTCCATTAATCACTCACTCTACAGCAGGAGACAGCACTTTAAAATAAAAGCTTGGTGCCAGAAATTCAATGTACTTAAAAATAAAATGGAATGAATGAATTTATGGTCTACTTTTGGACCACGACTCACCAACTGGGAACCACTGCAGTAGGAGGCGGCAGGGGAAAAGGATTTTTTTCTGTCTCATGTATGACTGTGTGGATGTGCGCCATTCTGCCATGTTCTAGAAACCTGCTGGTTCACACCAATGCAACTAGATAGGATGGTGTATCATCTCTATGCAACAACTCTCTGTACTTCTGTTCTGAGTTCCAGCTTATTCAGGCTTATTTTGTGGATGTGGCTCCTTAAAATATGAATGAGGACAGTGATACTGAGATACTGGCTACAGCTGCATTGGCAGTAGTCATGAAATGGTGAAAAACAGAAGCAAAACAAGCATCAGATGGACTGCACTCATAATAAATACACCACTATAATATATAACCAGCGTCAATTAATCAGTCAGTGAGGGCTGGGCAGGGATGGTGCACATGCCGCAGCAAGCGAACACGCTGTCTGCAGTCATTTTGACCCGACCAGCGAACTTCACTCCAAGCTGATTGGCTGTAGAAACAGGTGATGTGCTTTACGATCTAAAACCAGCAGCCAGCGACTTGACCAGCGGAGTCTCAAATCCAGTTTAGACCAGCGATTCACAAGACAAAGCCATTTTAGAACGGTGTAGAGAAAAGTTGCAGCAGTGAATGTGTGAATCACCAGCAGCTGGTTTTAGAACGTAAAGCATGTCACCTGATTTTACAGTCAATCGGCTTGTAGTGAAGTCTGCTGGTCAAGTCAAAATGGCATATTCACTTGCTACACCATCCATCTGATCCATCTGATACACGTTTTGTTTTTTGCTGTTTCATCACTGCTACAAATGCAGCTGTAGCCAGTATCTCACTATCACTATCCTAACTCATATTTTAAGAGGCTACAAATTACATTCAGCCACAAAATAAACCTTAAAAGCTGGAAATCAGAACATTAGTACAGAGAGTTGTTGCATAGATGATCCACCATGTCATCTCGTTGCATCAGTGTGAACCAGCAGGGTTTTTAAAACGTTGCAAGTAGTTCCCTGTTTCAACTCGTCTCGTCTTGTTGCAAATCTTTGGCCTGAACTGCTTGGCACACAGGATAAGTTTCAGTTCTGTAACCTCACCACTAGATGTCACTAAATCCTACACACTGGACCTTTAACAAGACAAAAGATGGCTGTGTAGTGGGTGAACAGATCAGCACACAAAACAAAGCCTGTTTACTCTTTTTACTTTAAATTGTCCAAATTACAAAATAATAACATGATCTCTACTTCATCTACAAAATAACATAATATTTATGACTGTATTAAGCATCATTGTTTTTTTTTTTTGCTCTAACAACCTTTTAGACATGCATACTGTTGAGAAATATAAAAATATAAATATAAATACATCCCATTAATATTCTTAATGAATCCATGACTAAGATTTGAAATATTTCATCATAAAAGAATTAAAATGCAGTTGAGTACGATAAGGCATTAAGATGTATCACAAGAGCTGTACAGAATCCTAGAGTAGAGGTATTATTTTTTTTCTTAGTGTGATGGAGAAAACCTAAAATTAACTTTTTTTTAATAAATCACTACTTTTCTCAACAGGAAGAACACATTTCCAAAGAAAAAGAAAAAGGAAGAAAGAAACAACTCTACAAATTCCAAGGTAACATATTAACACAAAACTGAAAAAGCACTCCAGTACAAAACCAGGATTTGTTTACAGCATACCAAGTGGTGTTGTCAATCTCCCATTGTACTTATGACTTTATAAGCCCTTTCTCGACACCACGCCACTCACAAGAAAACTCAAAGCAACCAAAGATATCCAACAGACAAGTGACCATTCCTCACGTGATTAATGTAGAACGATAATGACTTGCGTTCGGAGCATTATGTGCTATACAGAGTTAAATGACTAAATCTAATGCATAAGTTTCACTCATTGGACTGGTACATACAGAAAACAAAAAAGGACTATGGCAATGACAGTTACAATCAAATGAATGGCCGACGATGTTAAAATGTTCTGAGTAAAATCAACACTTTTATAAGTATTATTGTTTACAGCCAACTAATTCGGTGGAACTGCTAAAAAGGTTTCTTTTGTCATGACAGCTCCCTAACGATAAGCATGACTGAGCTAGCTTACTTTCATGCAAAAAGGTAGTTTTCTGGTGCAAGAATTGCCATGTCAGAAGCTGAAGTGTTGATTAGCAGTTTCTTTCTCTTTTTTTTTTTTTTTTTTTTGATGGCCAGACTCAGAGAGGAAGACTCAGAGCAAGAAAATCCAAGAAATCTCAAACCCATTTTGATCCTCGCTGAATCAAACAATAACTATTTAAGGTGCTTGACACTCCTGAACACAACTTTTTTCTTATCTCTGTACCTTTAGGAAACAAATAAACAAGTACATCCCACGATTCCATACCAACCACAACACGTATGGCCTTCTGTCCTGATCAATAAACAGCCCTCTGGAGACTTAAAGGGCAACTTTGGTATTTTTCAAGCTGGACCCTGTTGTCCCATGTTTTTGTGGCCAAGTGACAAACAGGAAATAGCATTTTTGAAATTGGTCCAGTATTAAGCAAGCCATGACATGGGCTGCAACGTAACCGATTGGGGCATTTGTGCGCCATCAATTGACAACTACAAGTGCTTGTTTTTGCCACTGACAGGCTCAGATTATTATTATAATGGCGACACACCAGGAAGATTGAGCTGGATTTTTTACCTGCTACACAGACGGTCTTTGTAGCATGTGGGTTGCTGTTAGCTTCTCTGTGTGCACACTGATATGCAATGAGTGATGATGCAGCTGATTATGGAGGGTCTGGAAGCGTTGGCTACATTAACTGGTGCTAAATTAATTAATATTTTAACTACAGAATGCACTGATTTAATTGATTTAATGTGAAACGTAACAACGTAGTTGCTCTGCTGCTTCGCATTACCTCTACCTCTACAATGACGTATTAATTTTTTTTTTTTTTTTAAAGATATTTTTTGGGGTGTTTTTGCCTTTAATTAACAGGGCAGTTAGGCGTGAAGGGGGGAGAGAGAGAGAGGGAATGACATGCAGCAAAGGACCACAGGCTGGAGTCGAACCCGGGCCGCTGCGGCAACAGCCTTGTACACGGGGTGCCTGTTCTATCCACTAAGCCACAGATGTCCCAGACATATTCAATTTTATCATTTTAAACACAAGGTACTCGCCTTTAGAGGGCTGCAGAGCCATGTGTACAGAAAAAAAAGAAGAGCTACGTTAAAATAACGTTGGGCAAGCGCTGCTTCTGTGGTCAGTGTAGCAGCTTCAGTTGATTATAATGGACGCCCTCTACTGTGGGCATGCTGCAGATGTGTTGCGCCCAATCTGTGTCCCATGTATTTGTACATTGTGGAAAGGATCCCTGCAGAGATAGAGGTTTTTGTTTAGGAACAAGATCATTTTTGTTTGACCAGAAATAGCCCCAAAATCGCTATCGGCAAACTCACCAGACTCCATTTAAATAAACAGTAATTTTAGCCTGTATAGATCCAGCATATATTCACATCTAACTGGGTGAATTAAGGTTTGATTTCAACCAAACCAGAGCTGTTGATTGTTGGAACAGTGGAAAGATGAACCAAGATGGCTTTTATGAGTTAATTTTGTTTCTGTCACCTTAGAATGAAGAGTGTTTTACAATAATAAAATTACTGTTTATTTAAATTGAGTCTGGTGGGTTTGGTGATAGCGATTTCAGGGCTGTTTCTGGTTAAACAAAAAGGCCTATCTCTGTCGGGGTACTTTCCATAATGGTGTCAGACACTTATAATATTAATCTGAGCCTGTCAGTGGCAAAAACAAACACTTTTAGTTGATGTAGATTGACGGTGCACAATTGCCCTTAACATTACACTGCAGCCTGTTGCTGTTGCCAGCTGCAGCGCTCTTGCTTAATACTGGACCAGTTTCAAGAATTGTTGTTCCTATTAGTTAGTTAGACACAAAAACGTGGGGAAAAAGGGTCCAGGTAAGAAAAAAAAAATACCAAAGCTACCCTTTAATAAACTGGCATTACAGCTTTGCAAAAATCAAATGTTGATTTTAGTTTTGTCAACAAACAAGCTAACATGCTAGCAGAGCCCTGACTTACGCGCACACCCAAAACACACAACTTCCCCTCTAAAGTGTTTCTTCGTTACGTTTTCTATGAGCTATTTTCTGCCTACTACTTCTTAACGCAAGCCATTTGGATTCTTAGTAAGTGAGCTGCAAAATGGAGGTAAGATCAGAGCTGGTGAGAGATATACAGTACTTGGTGCACTTGCAGAGAGCAGCCAATGCCAGGGTTGAGGGGAGGGACAGAGAGAGAGGGCAGAGAGGGGACAGTAATACAGTAGATGCTCACAATACCACAGTTTCACTGGAGTCCTCAATGCACGAGAGCACTCGGGAATATTTGGGCAGCACATCCATGTTTGTCGTTAGTGTCAATGAAGCCGCTGCAGCCACAAAGGTTCCTCTTTCCATGACTTCATTGCTCTATTAATACAGCTTCCTTTTCTCCGATGCTCCAGCTCTGCAGCTCTGAGGTGATACTGCCCTTGAATGCTGACTGGAGTTAATCTCTCCCCACCTTTTAATCCTAACCTTACCTATAAGTGGGGACATTACAAAACTGAAACCGGATCAGCATCTACGCGTAACTTTGACCTTCTCTAACCTTGCCCTCTGTTAAGGGACTGAGGTTATTATTGCCGCGCTCTCTACTGCTAACTGTGGGACTGTGGTGCTGCGATGCTAGAGCAGTCTGTGACGAGCAGGTCCACCACCGTGTTGCCAGTGACATACACAGTAGGCGCTGTCACCATGTTGCTAAGGGAGACAGAGCTGCTGGCAGCCACATTAGAGGTGATGGGGCTCGGGGCACCCTGGTTGTTGCTATGGGTGCCCATGTGACCCTGGAGCTGAGTGGGTGTCTTGCAGTGGACGCCGCACAAGTGGCAGACGAGTATGCCGCCTGAGGCTGTGCCACCGAATCCGCCCGGACTGTCCTTCCACTCCTGGCCATGGTGCTTCTGGGCATGGACACGAAGGTATGTCAGTGTGGTGAAACCTGAGGGAGGAGAGTGGAAATGACTCTTAGTTGTTTCAGTGAGAAATATAGATGTTATAGCTTGTTCATTCAGCACTGAGCCAACAGAAGATCCAAGCAAATTCAAATCCACACAGTTGTCAACATGAAGTAACAAGTCATAAAGCGACGTCTACGGCTGAGCAGTTAAAAAATTATGACACCAGTACCAATACCAGTACCCTCGAGGTGCTTTCAGACCTAGAGTTGTCTTGCTTGGTCCGAATCAAGGAGCTATTTTGTTACAAAGTTGTATAATTTTCGTAGAGTTTGGTTGCATCCCGGCATGCTCAACTTCCAACTCTGACAAATACACTGTGCTCCACTTCACCACACCACAAACTGTATGGGCTGTAGCTGTTGTGGTAGTGGGCCAATCAAAGAACCCTTGTGGTGATGGCTGCAAGCAAAACTATAAGAAGAAGAATTTTTTTTTCTAGATCTGGGTATCGTTTATTAGGTATCGAGTACAGATACCCAGCACCTGCTGACATCTGATCTTGCTTATGCAGAGTACATGGCCACAAATGACTAAAACTGACCTCTAAAGGTAAATAATAATAGGCATGTCCCGATCCGATCACGTGATCGGAAATCGGGGCCGATCACGTGGTTTCAGACTCGATCGGAATCGGAAGTTGTCACCGTGTCAGCTGACTGTTTAGTACGTGTGTGTGGCTGAACTGTTTCACTGCTGACTTCCAAGCAGCTGTTGTTGTTGATGTTTGAGTGCTACAGACCCCAGCAGCAACAACAGTCACTGCAGCTTCTACTGAGAGCGAGTCAGACGTAACGCACGTGAGAGAGACACACGGACAGACTGCGCAGATGTCGCGGACATCGTTAAACTTCTCACACTGTTGTGTGACGGCAGATACAGAACCAGGTATTTATTTAAAGTTAGAGAGGGAGAAGGAGTGAGGTGAGCTGGGTGAGGGAGGGAGGGAGGGAATGAGGGAGGGAGAAGGAGCGGGGGGGCTATTGTAAGCTATTTTATTTTTGACCAAATGTTCTTGTTGTTGACTAATGGATAATGGAATTAATGTTATACCGTGGAGCTACTGTATACTGTACTGTTAGATTCATTAGCAAATAGCTGTTTACTGACATATCCAGCAGGTATAGAACAACAATATTCACCCTCCTGAGGGAAATATCTGTTCTGCTAAAAGCTCCACTATGTCCATCAGCTAGTCCCTACTTGGGTCTGTGCGTTAGTTTGTGCTGGGGAGGTCATGTACAGTGGATTTATCAGAGCTTTTTCACTGAGAACAGCTGCCTGCTGTGGCTGGAAATAACTGAAACGGTTAATGCCGACATTATGCCAAACAACATTTCAAATTATTTTATTGTCGCAGATTTAATATCATATTATAATCAGGAGAGTTTGACCTCAGTTGGTGCAGGCTCTTGTGACCTCAATTGTTGGGTGTAAAGTGATCATAAAACTCAGTCTCATCTTCTCTGATGTTCAAATAAAATCAAACATGTTTAATATTATCTAAGTTTTAATCTTGGCTCATGCAAATACTGAAGTTCAAGGGCAAGAGGACTGTCTACAACCGATTGCTGGATTCACTCCACCACCAAACAGGAAGCAGCAAACAGGGTAGACAGTAAAGAACATGAACAGGTTCTTTTGTATTGTGGAAAAGGAGGTGAAACTGGTGAAGTTGTGAAGTGAACATGAACTGGTGTTTAATGTGGTGTGTATCTGAAGCGCCAACCAAAACTTATTTTAGGGAGGAATCTTAATTTTTGAAACTTGTCGCCTCTCATTATCACGGTCTCCTACCACTAAAATAGAGCAGCTAACCAACGGAGGCTGGTCGTGAGTTTAGGCAACAAATCAAAAATGTAAAGATAAAAACATACAGTTTATTTTTTTTAGATTATATTAATCCAGAATTGACAAGAATACTGTCGACGTATGGTACATTTTATTTTGTGTTTCGAGTCATGCGTTTTTGTGGACACGTAAATAATTCTTAATATGTCATATTTCTTAAAGGGAGTTTGGTGTAAAATGTTCCACCAGAAGCAGGATGGGATGTCTTTAGATATGAGAGGGCGTCAGACTTTAGTCCTTTAAAAGTCTTGTTGTGTATGACAGGCATTAGACGCAGACTGGAAAACCAAAACACGCAGGTGAAAGATGCTTTAAAGCTCCACAGAGCTGAGGATAACTGCAGAGCTGAGGAGAAGTCTCTGTGGGGTGTATTACGTGTAGTAACATTAACAATTAATGTAAAAATATTGATGTTAGCTACTTTAATGTAAACTAATAAATTAAAGCGTGTGTACTTACTGCGGTTGCAGAGATGGCAGGCGTGGTGCTGTGACTGGTTGTGCACCCTCATGTGATCTGTGATGTAAGCGGCAGACAGGAGCTTGCCACAGATGTGGCAGGGGACTTTCTCCTCGTGGCGAATCATGTGTGCACGCAAACGATCCTTCGTGGCAAAGCTGGACTCACAGGTCTGAAAAAAGACGGAGGACAGGGTGATTGTAGAGAAACATATAAAAGCAAAAGCCTGTGCACACGTAATGCACACGTAAATCAGCCAAGTTTTAAGAACCAATTTAAGATGCTCTACAACTCTTTATGGAAAATAACCTCACATACTGTAACAAACACACATATAATGTATAGTATGCACACTGAGTATGTTTGTCATGCTCAGGTGAGTATCAGACTTTAAGCTGCTGCATGTAAACATAATACAACAATCACAGTGAGATACATGCTGCACTCTGTTTCGGAAAGACATGTACTCTATCCAGATCAGTTTCCATGGTAATGCTCTCAATGTTCATTCACTCATGTCAACAGATATCAGCCGAAGACGCAGATTAAAGTGCAGCAATGTACAAAACCTCAACCTTGAGTCATCGGGAACACAGTGCATGTAAACACGGTCATTGTTAACATGAATGGACTGAAAAAAAACGATGCTGTGTGCAGCTGATATAAGAGGATGTTACAGAGTAAACATGACTCACCGGGCATTTAAAGGGTCGCTCTGAGGAGTGCACCTGTCTGACGTGACTGTTTAGATGGTCCGGCCTTGAGAGAGAAAGAGAGTCAATGTGTTAGGACACTATCAGTTATAGGCCTCCCTTTAAAGTGGAAAAAAAACACGTATTTGCTTTCTTGTCAAGACTTAGACAGGAAGATAAATACCACTCTCATGTCTGTGTGCTGAATATGTAGCTACAGGTAGCAGCCAGCTCTCTTAGCTTAGTTACTGGTCCCAGTCTAGAAACAGTCAGGCACATAATAGCAAATCGTCATTTCTACATCTAATTTTTGAAAAGATTAAATGAGTGAGATATAACGTTATCATTAGTGAGATTTAGAGGTGCTGGTGGGCAGATTTTGTTTTGTCCAGACAGAGCCAGGCTAGCTGTTTCCAGTCTTTATGCTAAGCTAAGCTAAAGGATGTCTTTCTCCTTGACGAACTTGATCCTGACAGAGTGGGCCCTTTTTAAATGATCTATAGCGCATGGTCTAAAGCGTGTCCAGCTCCAATTTTGCTACTTAAACGGCCCATAATCTGGGCACCAAGTAAGGCGCAAAGGGGCAAAGGTGTTGTATTTAGTCCCTTAATTAATCATAGGTGTGTTCTAGGCCTGATATGATTTCAACCAATTCAAGTGTCATCTTCCATTCCCTTTAAAAGCCAGGTGCACCTGGGGCTCTGCTATTATAAGGCTGATTCAGCAAATTGGAGAAGCGAGCCATTTTCTGCTGAGAGTAATGCAGTAAGAGCGGTGATGTCACTGCAGCAAATATTGTGAGACATATAAGCAGCAAAACTTAAAACTATAGTTATAAAGTTAACAGAAGAAACAGAACTAGACTGAAGTTGTGCTGCTCCTCGTGTGTAAATGCGCCTAGCATCTCTTAATGTGGATTTGGACAGCAGCTCTGCTCTGCTCTCTGCTGTGTTCACATTTTAGAGAATCAAATTTTTCTCATTGATGAGGTAATATTCACCCATCCACAACACATCCGTGAATCCATGGGTGTGTAACAAGCAGAGTTTGTTGTGAACTAGCATCTTACTATCTGAATAATGCGTCCTTTAAGTAGCAGGAAGACCACGTTTTAGTTTGTCAGTGCCACAATCTCTTTCTGCTACCTAAAAATAGCAATGCGCCAACAATGCCAGTGAACACACCTCATTTTAAGACCTACACGCCCCTGGGTACACAGAGGGGAAGAGGTACATTTATTCATTTTCTGTAATCGCTTATTCTGTTAGGGGTAGCTGTGGGGTGGAGCCTGTCCCCGCTGACACTGAGCGAGAGGCGGGGTACACCCTGGACAGGTCACCAGACTATCACAGGGCTGACATGTAGAGACAGGCAACCATTCACATGGGGAATTTAGAGTCACCAATTAATCTGCATGTCTTTGGACTGTGGGAGGAAGCTGGAGTACGCAGAGAAAACCCACGCTGACACAGGGAGAACATGCAAACCCTCTTGCTGTGAAGCGACAATGCTAACCACTGTCCACTGTGCCGTCCAGGAAAAAGTACATTTGCTACTTAAAACACCGCCGGTCTGAAACTAGCAGTGGGACACTTAGTACCCGATTTAAGATAGGGCCCTATATGTTTTTAGACTTAAACTGTTCCGCATCGTCACCTGGAGAAAGCCTTGCCACAGTGGGGGCAGACATAGGGTTTTTCCACACCACCCTGGTGGGAGCGCACGTGGTGGCTCATGCGGTCCTTCCTCTTAAAGCGCTGCTGGCAGATTGGACAGGAAAACGGCTTTTCGTCTGAGTGAGACAGGCGGTGGCGGTTGAGGTGGTAGACGTCGCGGAACGCCTTGCCACAGGTCTCGCAGGCGTGGTTCTTCCTCACCGGGTTCGGGTTGGGATTTGCAGGCCGCTGAGACAACACAAACAAGCAAATACACAAACTACAGAGTTTAGATGGAAAGAAGAATTACACATACATAATACATTCAGTGTTACATATTGTCATGTTTTTATGTCTTTGTTGCATGCAAATGCACACTGATATTTCCGCCTGATTTGTACCAAAGTTGCAAAACATGTCTGACAGTTGGTTCGCGTGTTAGATTAACTCCCTCCCACTGGATTTAAAGTCTTTATCTGCTTTCACACTGTTTGTGTTACAGAGAACATGCAGGGGAGCGTGGGGGGGCTTCTAGCACGTTGTTTCTCAAACTGGGGACCAGTGCCAAACCCTGGGATGAAATTTACTGGTCCCTGAGCTGATAATTGTACATGGACATTTTGTAGACTTTAACACACAGGAGAGTTTCAGTTAGATGCAGCAGGAGACACACAGTAACTGCTTGTAAGATCCAAAAAAAAAAAAAAAGGTGGCAAACCGTCCCTGTGGCCAGGCAGCTAGAGAAACAACATGCTTGAAGGTTTGGGGTTGACGACAGCCATCTCCACAAGGCCCTGACCCACCTGTACTGTCGCCCCTGTGGCCATGACGACAGCAGCAGGAGGCGGAGCATGGGGGTTAACACTAGCCATTACGTTAGCCATGGCAACCCCTTCACCATCCTGACTACCCAGGGGAGGCTGCTGGGCCCCCGCCAGCACGCCGGGAGGGGCGAGAGTGGGAGGTGCGGAGAGGTGTAGCAGGGAGAGGGGAACAGTGGGCCTCTCCGCCCTCCCTCCGGCCCCCACCGCCATCGCCGACGGGGCCGCCACCGCCACCGCAACCTGGCCGGCTGCTCCCTCCTTTGCCCCCTCCGCCTGCTCTCTGGCCCTGTCCTTCATGCGTACCCCAGTGTGGACCGACTGGTGCCGCCGCAGGTTGTAGTTGTTCTTGAACTGCTTGTTGCAGATGGCACAGATGTGGGGCACGCGGGGCGGCCGAGACACTGGCTTCACTGGACCACAAGGAGGCGGGAGGAGAGACAGAGAGGTGTTAATTTCCAGTAAATTTATTTTGAATTTTTGAAATAGTCATTTAAAGTAATCTTTCAAGCAAATTTGGTAACAATAACATCTAACAGGTTTAGAGAGTAAATGACAAGTCAAACAGAGATGACATATTCAATATGTGTCAATGAAGACAGCAATAAGCAAAATGAGCTGCTGTAAAGCATCGTCCCAGTCAAGCCTGTTTTGGTAATCTGCAGGTGAACACATATGTAAGCATGAAACTAGGAGTGAAATAATTGTTGTTGCTGTCTTGTTTTCCATCAGGGTTAATTAAATATCTTTGGGTTTTAGACTGTTGGTTGGATAAAATAACCAATTTGAAGATGAAACTGTAACGGTTTAATGGCAACAATAATCAAAACTTATCGTCTAGTCAGTTAAATTTGAGAAAATAGTGAAAAAACTCAAGTTGACATCTTTATGTTGCTTATTTTGTCTGGCCAACAGTCCCAAATCAAAAATAAAATCCAGTTTACTGTCACAGAGGCCAACACAAACTATTAAATGTTCAAATCTGAGACACTGAAGCTGTTAAGAAACTTTAAATAGTTTCTTTTAACTTTCAATACTCAATTTCCGCAGTATTGATACACCAGTACACGCTGCGCTCCTTTGCTTGGTCTGATCGTCATTCTGCTGTTTTCTGCTACTGACCAAGAAAAAAAGTCATCCCTGTAATGTTATAGCAATGTTACATTTATCTTTTAATAGAAATTGGAAATTTTATGCCCTCAAGGTCAATTTTTACCCGCTTCTGTTGAGAAATTGATCGACTAATTGTTTCAACTCAAATCACAGGTTGTAGCTCTAAAAAGCATCAAGGCTTGATGTAGTTTTCATGATGTTTAAATGAAAGTTTAACCATAGACAAGTCGACTACACTAAAAGTAAGAAAACATTTAGAAAACAGTCAAAACTGAGCGAAACATGGCGATATCCATAGACGAGGATGTAAATTTGAGAATCCTAGGATAGCGAAGAAATGACCTACCCTTCTCTTCCTGTGATTGGCTAGTACTCGTTGCCTTCATTGGTTGGATTGGTTAGGAAAACACATTGCCACTACCGGGGCACAGCACATCATATGCCGCCCCTGGCACACACTGGATGTGTTGCGCTGCAGCCCGTCAACAGACGACCTAGCAAAGTTAACTACTTTTACTAAAAGATCTGTACTTCCTCCATCTTTGCATTAGCATAAAATCATGTGTGGAGAGCCCCTAATTAAACTTGATTTCTCACCTAAAGAGCCGATCTCGAGAGCCATGACTGGCCCGGCAATATCTTTTTAGCCATTGCCTTTACAACGACGGGATTGTGGGTCATTTAGCTCGGGATATTTCTCGACCTCAACAAGTCTCTCCTCATCCATTCTTTGTCACACACAGAGTTCTGTTTGCATCAATGGTGAGGAGTCGAGCTGCCATAGGAGCAGAGAAAAAGAGCTGCTACGGGAGCTTGTATGTAAAAGTAGAGTGCATTTAATTCTGGGGGTGGCAAAGCTGGAAATAGGACAGCGGCGTGCTACAGGGCCGTGCATCCTGGAGAGCCGATGTGCATGTAGCCCCCACTGGTTTTGGGTTGTACATTGAAAATAAAAGGGATGTATTTTTTAATGTGAGGCCTTTGCCGGGAGTGTGTTTTGGCCTTGAGGCAGGCTATTCCTTCACCATCCTAGGATTTGCAAATTTGCGAGGAGATAGATATAAACGTCTTATTCTGAGGTGATTATTTCTGCCAATATATCCCCATAAATCCTACACACTGGACCTTTAATCAAATAAATACTGAGAAACACTGATGTTGAACAACGTGTCCTGATAACCCGGATGTTCAGATGTTGAATTTTAGGTGTCTAAAATCTGAAAAATCCAATTTGAGCGACCAGATCACTCTGACTTTTTAGAGCCAGATAAATCTCGTGGAATTTACGCAATTTGAATTTTTGGGGTTCTTGAAATATATACCAAAATATTCCATCTTTTCACCTGCAAATGACCAAAATGAAAGTCCCTGGGATTATATCACCTGCCTGAATCCTCCCCATGAGAGTAGAGTGTTGTGTATTTACTCTTGTCAGCTCCACAGGTGTAGGATGCAGTGCAGTGTCCCTCACCAGGCAGGGGTTCCTCACTGAGAGCAGCAGTGTCCACAGTCGAAGGAGGCTGTGCTATGTGCTCTGTGGGTGGGGTTTGGGGAGAACTCGTATGCACGGGCATGAGCTCTGATTGGAGGCTCCCCTCCACTTGGTTTTGGGTGGGAGTATTCTGGAGAAGCAAGCAGAAGGCCATCACCAAATGTAAACACAAGTCCCAGCATTATCTTGAAGTGCTAGGTTGAAATAGGAGATGTGAGGGCTGTGGGGCTGCTGGGGGTACACAATGTGAGAAAATGCGCGCAGTGACAATGAGAGCAGAAAGAGAGGCCAGAAATGCTCAGCAAGCCTACCTGGAAGAGAAAATTGCTCCAAGCAGCATCCATTTTGCGCCACAGCGATGGAGATTATAACGTCAGCTCCTGATTGAGATCGAGGAGGGCAGCCTTTGCATGGTTTTGATCGGCCCACCGGTGATCGAGGCGCAAACAGTCGCCTGTCCTGCAGCAGAGACGCCGGGCTCCTGGATTTTCTTGCGAAACGTGAATAAAGTCGTCCGCAAAAATATGTTTTTCTCATTGAGGTAGCCTAATGCTGTCAATTAAAATGCACGCAGCTGTTGACTAACGCAGGCTGCAGCACACAGGCAGGAGTGGAGCAGGCCAGCTCCTATAATGGCCTGCTTCTCTTCTCACTTTGGTGTCTAACTTTCATTCACCAAACACCAACCTTCACTAAAACGCCACATCACACAACCAAAGTGCTCTCAAAGCCCACCAAAAAGCGCATTTTACACTATCACACTTTCGCAATAAACACAAACCACTCTACGGGAAATAAATGCATTTGTACGCAAGAGAACATGAAAAATATGAGTTATAACACACGTATCTGGCAGCACAGCAACTCATGCTTTGTTTTTTAATTTATGAATCTATTTTTCCGATTTCCCCCAATAGGCCAATCGGGTGTTTGTCGAAGCCTCGTTGTTGGATTCAAGCCCTGACCCCGGCGAGCGGCGCTCTCGCCGGGCCGCAGCCTATCGCTCCACCTCGGCCGTTCAGCTGCGAGGATGTCATCTTTCTTTTTTTATCGCCCGCTCTCCCTCCTCCCTCCCTGTCTCTTTCTTCCTTTTCTTTTTTAATTCCTCTTTCTTCTCCCCCTCCTCTCCTTTTCTCGCACCGCTATGTCCCACTTGCTCTTAAAGGGATAGGGTTTCCTCTTTGGACACCCCCCTCTCATTTCCGTCTCCCTCGGCGGGGCCCGTCCTCTTCCCTTCCTTCCTGGGTTTGTGGGCCGACACAAAATGCGCCACGGTCGTGTCGGTCGGTTGTTTTTTTTCCTGTCTCCTTCCCGAGGCCAGCTGGAGCAGATCTCCTGCCTGCACCGCAGAAAACAGCAGGAATGACTTTCCATTAACGGCCAGATTACAGACGCATCTTAAAGGGCAGTGCGCACAGAGCCTGCCTGTCGGCCTATAATAATGATGTCAGAGTCAGATATAGTACACAGGACGGAGAGCTGCTCGGCATAAACACACAATGGATGACAAACACTTCAGAATTAATGTGCATAAAAATACATATTCAAATATAATACAGGTACCCTTAATATAT